GATCAGCGCTGTGCATCAGGATCCCCAATTGAAGCAAGACAACTGGCACATGGTCCTCTCGAAGTCTTCCCTTTCTCACTATGTCCAACAGCGACACTGCCACAGCCTAAAGGAAGGTTATGAGTAATGCTGAGTTCCTATATTCCCACGGTCAACTTTATTGATGCACTCAGTCTTCATAGGACTTCATTCTACAGTCATTACTGAGATGGGAGAAACAGGATTACCAACTGTAACCAACTATAAAACTGCAAAAGCTACAGTATTTTATAGTAAGCCTTCCAATTGCTATGTTAAATCTTCCAGTAGGTGCTTTTACGACTTCAAATAAAAGGTAGGGGTTACAGAATCCATGATCCCTCTTGTGCCTCAACAGCCAGGTCTATCTGGTAAGGGGCATGGCACATCGGCAAATGGATATACGTGCAGGGCATACCAAGTTCTCCTAGGCCAATCCATAGCTAGGGGAATCATTGGAATTCTCGCCAATTTCTCTCCTGGTGGACTGAATGTGCAAATAGACGATGATACATCACGGATGCATAATAATGTAAACAACATTACACCAGTTGTCTGAATACTGGAAGTCATATCTATATATTTAATATTTTTTTTTACACTTAACTGTATTGCCATCACACGGGGATGACAAGCCCCTATATGATAGTGTTTGGAGGTGACAGGTTCTTTTAATGAAGACATCCAGGGTTTATTACATGTCTTCCCTGGCCTTCAATATATGGGATTGAGCACAGCACAGTGCCCGATCACCTGTGTAACTGGCACTGGCCGGCTTTACGAGAGCTCCAAGTACAGCACTTTCTGCCTCACTGATCAAAGCAGATCGGGAAATGGGCCTTCCCCGGTCTGCTCCCGCTCTCCATCCTGAATGCATTTTCCCTGTTCCCGTGTCCCCCAGGGAAGCCTGAAAAATATGGCGGGAGGGGGGTGCACCACCTACACGGGCTGCTACAAATGATGTGGGCACTTGTAGAGCCGTCCAGATAACTTGTACTAAATGAGCATCACCAGCTGAAAAGATTTCAGGACGACAACATATATTTATGTATGGCGGTCTTGAAGTAGTTAAAAAAGGTAAATCTCTCCAGCAGGGACAGAGACTGCAATACAAACCTGGCAGTGATTATAAACATTCCCTATGCAAGTTTTGGCTGTATAGACATTTTAAAGTAATAATACATGAAGTCAAAATGTTTTTAAAGTATTCTCAAATGCTAATTAAGTCACCTACAATGGATGCTGTTCCTTGATGTTTAAGTTTCCTGCAGAATCAGCTAGTCTGAGCGCTGGCCTTAATCTCCTGTTTTAGGGTGACTCCTTTCCCTTGCAGGGTCCTATGGAGCCAGCCTCGTATGTGCTAGTAAGTTGTGTGTCTCTACAAACACACAGGCACAACAAGGTCAAGACGATCCCCCGCTCCCCCTCCTCCCTTACTACTTCAAGGTTAATAGCACCCCTAATTACCTCTGAAACTTTCATATATATTTTACCTGTGAATGTGAAACGTGCTTGCACTTTGGTTGTTTATATTTGTTAAGTAACTATATTGGTAAATGCAAGCTCAACTTTCCTGATTGAAAAATTTGAACAATGCACACCAATTCCTAAATCTCTTTCTGTGATATGTCATCTCTGCACACTGTCTCCCACTTTGCCATAGTTGAGACAAATTCACTCTTCAGACCATAATAGTCTTCCTTTCTGCAGCCTCTTTTTTCATCATCCTTGGCCATAATCTGTGTACACCCCTTTCTTGCCTATCCCTCTATGTCCCCCCCAGTCCACAGTGAGTTGGTGTGCCCCCCCCAATCATCTCCCTTTTTGCTTCCTTTAGAGCACGCCACAATCAGCTTCCACTCCGTCTGTCCCAATTACAAGTTCAAGTGAGAAGACAACCCTGACATAAATATCTACTTCCAGCTTATATCTTGACTGGACAGGAATGTATACCATTCAGTTCTGAATACCAGTCGGTCCAAAACCAGCTTAAATTAACGAGTTCATGAATGTGCAAACTTTTGTTAGTTACTTACATTAAAATATTAGGCCAGAGTCGTCTGGTGACAGGGTCCCTTTAAGAACATCTATATTTCTGCACAGATTGAAATGTTTTTCCCCTGTAGGACCGAGCTGAGGTAGGAGAGGCCTTGGGCACTGTTCTGAGAAGTGTAAGAGGCGCAGGAGCGTCTCCTTCCCCTGCCACAGCCAACTGCTTATACACTTACCTCTGTGCCATTGATCGGAGCCCAACAGTACTACGCAGCCAATCCTGTGTCTCTCAGCATATGTCCTCATAACATGCAGCCGATCAGAAAATGTAAATATGCTGACATGTAACCCATGTGTCAGGAGTTCTTGATTACCTACAGATTATGAGACACACCATCTCTGACAATGACTCTGAACCACAGGATCAAAAGATATGCAATAATGCCACCTCTCACTTCAAAGGAAACTTCAAGGTTCTGGAACTTGTGGCACTAAATATTGTGCAGTGCAGAACTTATCAGGCTTACCAGCATTTAGAACAGAGCAGTATTGTGTTTTGTACACATTTACTGACACAGATATATCTGTATGTAGGATAACCAGCACACAGGCAGGGAGGAGTTTGTGACTCCTAATTATTTTATTACCTCCTTAAATCACCGTTATCCACCGTTATTCAATTTTGTAACTCCAATTTGCTGTGTCCTTGAAAATATTAGCCTGTTTTAAACATGCTGATTAGGACTAAACCATGCTGGTTTAAAACAACCTAACACTCCCATAGACTTCTGTTGTCATGTGACTAAAGCGGGGCACCCCCAAGGCTGGTGGACAGTGGCTGTTTCTGTACCCGGTATTGGCCCAGTAGGTGCGGGGTACAGAAACGGGCAGATTTGCCATCTCCACCGGTCTCAGCCCACCAGGAAGCGCGGGTGAACTTTGACATCATCACCTTGGCTGCCAGAGAATCTTCTTCCAACCCTGCTGCCTTCATATGTCCTCTATGATGTTCTGTAAAAATTGTATTTAGCCTGCAGTTTAGAAACTAAAAGAGTTGTTAAACTGCACATCACTGGAAGACACCTATGAAATAACTGGGGTCAGACAGGTTTCATGTAATAAATCTCCCCCCCCACCGCTTTAAGAACTTACCTTATTTGATGCTTCTTGATCCGAACAGCTTCTTCCTTCCACTCCTTTTTCAAAGTCCCTCCAGCACTGGTGCCGGTCTCTGATCCAGCGTAGACTCCTTGTGTCCAACGGAGTCTGTCCGACGTGCACACTCATGGCTGTGTACATCCAGCGTTGCTCTCCACCTCTGTCCTCTGGTGATCTGGACTGCGCATACACCTGCCCACGCTTCCTTCTCAGCGTTGTGGAGCCAGGACTTCTTCAGCCGGGAGCGAGCGTCGCTGACATAGGTAAGTTGGTTGGCATTTGCCAACTTTTTTTATGTTGGAGCATATATCTGCTTACTAGCAGTAGACAAAAAAAAGTTTGACTTTAATAATACTTTAAGGATCCACTCTTAAGGATATACACATATATATGTAGCGTGTGTGCGTGCGTATGTATGTATATATATATGTATATATATATGTATATATATATATGTATATGTATATACACAAAAAAAATATATATATATATATTATACACACATACATACATATATATACACACACACACATATACATACATACATAAAATGTGTGTGTGTTAGAGGTGCACCGAAATGAAAATTTAAAAACCGAAACTAAACCAAAATTTTTTTTAAAATGTCAGGCCGAAACCAAAAATGTTTTTTATTTTAACTTTTTCAATATTTTATTTGTATTTATTTTTTACAAACTTTTTAATTGTTTGTATTTTTTTTTATTTATTCATTTTTTTATTAAAATATTTGTATTTTTTACTTTACTTTTAGAAGCATCGGGGAAATATTAGGGATCTAAAACAGACCCCTGATATTTCCCATTTAAAATAGAAAAAGAGATTGAGGACAGAGTCCTCAATCTCTTTTTCTGCAGCCCCTGTTATAAATGAACAGGAATCCTCTATACTGAGTGTTCCTGTTCATTCATAACATGAGAACATTGTGTGTTTACTATAACCACAAATCATGAATAAACAGGAGGTGATGTAGATCACTTCCCATTCATTCATAATTGAGGACACAGTAAACATACTCTGTCCTCAATTATGTACAAATCCATGCACTTTTGGCATTATGGCAAAAGTGCCATTTTTGGTGCGTGTGAGTTTTTCTTTCTTTATTTTTTTTTCTGTATAGTTTGTATACACAACTGATCTGTAGCCAATAATATTTATTTTTCCGATTCCTAATTATATTGGTAATGTATTTACATTTTAATTCCAAAACATTTTGTAATTTTAAAATAATTTGTAGTTAACTGTTGATGGCCCAGGCAAGGTAGCAGGGGAATATCTGTGCCTTGGTGGCAGAAGCCCCTGTGACTGCTGTAACCACAGGCATGCCTCCCCCTCATCCACAGCAATATCACCTTTATGGACTATGTACTGGGTAGACTTGTACTGCTTGTATTACCACTTTGCTGCCATACAGCTTGGGAGGAGCCAATAATTACATTAAACCAGTAAAATGTAAAGAATTAAAGCTGAACGCTGGGCTAAATTCATATTTCCTAAATACTAGTGACAAAAGTATTCTAACTTGAATCTTGGTGTCATTTGTAATTTTTCCAGATATGTGCATAGATCCAGCATGGCACATCTTATTTGTGTGTGTCAGAACCTCCTGTAATAAAGATGACATGGGGATGACAACATCTTAAAATGAATAAAACCCTGCTACCTTTTAGATGGCTACATTTCAGCTTTAAGGCATACAACAGTAAACATGTGAGATGAGAACAGACAGTCACTTAAACATTGGTCAGTTGTGAAACTTATAACACATATTTCTGTTAGTCTTGAGTCAATTGCAGGGTACAAGACATCTGGCATACCTGAGTGCAGCCCTTGAGGGACAGGCACCGCAGCCCCCCACAGCCCTTTACCAGAGCCTGGATCCCATCCTTGCTGATCTGATCACACCATGAGATGTTCAGTTGCTCCAGGAGGGGGCAGCCCTCACTGTCATGCACAGAGAAGGGGATTTTGATTAGAAACCCTTCCATTTATCAGAAATACAAAACATTTGAGCTATTGCTTAAAAGGTAATTAGTAAAATACAGGGTCTGCGGCTCACAATGTTAACTGGCTCAACCCCAATTATTCAACTTACAAACAGTAACATATGTATTATATTTTAAGGAAACCTACAATTAAACAAATATGGAAGCTGGACCTCCTTCTGAAAATACACTTTGCCTGGCTCTCTCTAGTTTCAATCCTTGAATCTCATGCAGCCAGTAAATTCAGGACACCAGATCTGTGTACCTGTTCCATGTCAGTGATTGACACTAGTGGATTACTTAATTAGCAGGGTAGCTGAGTAACTAGCATTCTCAGAAGGAGGGCAGCAGTGGCAGCCTACATAGCCCTCTCATTACAAGTTCCCTTTAAAGCACCTATGAGTGCCAGATTTTCTGACTGCTTGCCACTGAAACATTGGCAACAATATATTTAATAGAAGAGGCTGTGCTTTCTTAGGGTCTGATGTGAAGGACCCAGACATTTGGTTCTTGGGCTAAGCTTCTAGAATATGCTCTACACAAGAAGCGAAAGTGAAAACAGTGAAGAATTATTCATAAGCAATGTGTCCACAACTCCAGCTTACCGCCTTCCGCATACCTTAGACTTGTGCATGCTAAGGGCATTGGAGAGCTTCTATGGCTCTCAGCCTGCAAAAACAGCACAGGAAGGCACAAGACGACAACCGTCTCTCTTTTTTGGGATTTCAAGAAAAAGAGGCATGAAAGGAGGCGGTAGAGTGAAAAAAAAGCCAACTCCAGGAACTGGGCAACAGTATTAAAGTGTCTCGAAACCCAAGAACAAAAAAATTTAATATGTTGCAGATTACCACTATGTGACTGTATTTGTTTTGTTTGGTTCCTGTTTTTTTTTAATCTCCTTTGTTTTCAACTAGTGATCCTGCCAGACACACTTCCTGTCCTAGGATGACAAAGCCCACTCAAGGCACGATATCTGTGGAGGAGCAGCGTTGTTACCTCAGAAAAGGAATTGTGTTAGAATTACAGAACACCCCACATCCTAGTCTTTATAAGAGGGAGTTGTTTAGTAGTCCACAGAAGTGAATTAGGCAAGGCTGATAACATTGGCTGGGATTTCAAGATGCACAGGAAGTTAGGGGATCATTTTTCTAGAAGGATCAACAAGTATTTTTCTGTACTTGCAAGGGATTTAAAGAAACAAAATGTGAAAAATTTGCATATATTGGAGATTTGTACGGAATATATTTTATTTTTATTTTGTCCATACATACATTTTAGGCAAGTACTTAAAGTGTATGTCCAGCCAAAGCCATATTTTCTTAGGCCTAGGGAGAAGAATTAGTACCCCGATCAGATTTTTACTTCTATCTGGGGCTCTGTTAAAAGACATATACTGACTTCCTGTTCACCTGTTTTACCAGATAGGAATTGAATGGGGAATTTCCAACAGCAACACAGACAGAAATAATCAGATTCTTGTACTCATCATAAAAATGTTTTCTTACACAACAATGTAGTAATCTGGTCAATAATCTAAGGAATTGGAGACAACCTCAATGGAACCACATTAAGTGATAGAAAATGACAAAGGAGTACCCCTTCCAAAAAAGACAAGAGTGGGAAGACACTATTTGTCTGGCAGCACCACAAAAACAGTAAAACTACCAGATCTGTCCCTAGGGACACTCGGTACTGTCACTAGAACCTAAAAGAAAATCCCCAACAGGGCCCGTTTATCCGATAGGATTTGGGACATGGGCAGGGAAAGTAATTTGAGGAACTTGTAATGCCCAGGCTCCCAGATACAATAGGGGGAAGAGTAAGAGAGATGAAGGTCAATAATAGAAGGAGAGACTACGTAACAAGTGCATGGCCTCAGTACCCCACTAGCCCTCAACTGGAAGAAAAGGGGCAGTATCATGATAGAGAAGAAAGATTCCACTAGCCCAGAGGGTGTAGAGTGCTTCAGTGAGGAGTTGATACCAGCAAAAAAACTGATCCTTCTCAAGGAAGTTGGAAAAGTCCAGTGCTGTCAGCAACTACAAGAGCCTATGAAGGATACTAAGGGGACCGAATCCAGTTGGTGAAGAGAACAGTGGAAAGTGGTTCCCACTGACCATGAAAATCAAAAGCTCCTCTGTTGAGAAAATACTGATGATCAGAATTATTTTAGGATACAAAAATGTTCTGATCATGAGAAGAAATATTCTTCAAGGGAATACCACCCAAGGACAAGTTCCTACTTAGTTCAGAACAGGAAGTCCCAGAGAGCATGGAACCCAGGAAGGCCAGGGTAACACTCAAAACATGTTGGGAAAAAGCTAAAATGTAAGCCATCTCGAAAGTAATTAACCTGCGAGGTAAAGAGAGTATCATAAGCAACCAAACGCCAAGGAAGTCTGATACCCAGGGACCCTTCCAGTTGTGCAAACTTGAAGCAGTGGGTGTTTGCCTTCATGCTGAAGGCATGTCAGAAGCGTGAGCAGATCTCTGGCTTCAGAACCTGCAGTCTGAGCGGGAGATTCTCTGTGAGTTTGCTCTGTGAAGGAAAAAGAGGTAAAGTGGCATTGCTCCCTTCACCTTTGACATCACATCAGTGTCCCATGCACCAGCCAGCCATACATAGCCAGAGTGCCCTATGCATTTGTACAGGCATCAGTCATATGTGGGGACACAAGTTTTTAAGGGGTTGTAATACAGTATCACAGCTAAGATACAAGGCTCTAGACATCTAATCTAATCTCTCCATAATGGTGGGACCTACCCCAGTGGTGGAAGGATTCTCTCTAAACAGCATAATCTTTCTGACATAATTTGACAGATCAGAGTTAATGCCAACACAGGATGGAGGGCCAAACCAGTTAACTCAATGTGAGACCTAAGGTGGGAATGTAACTTCCTACCAGTACATTCCTCAAGGGTAAGTATACCATCAACCCTTCTAGTGGTATCTCAGTTAAAGCGGATCATTGGGGCATCCACATTGGGCACGGACCACCTATAAGAGAATCCCTCTTCAGAGGGGTAATGCTCTGTACAGTCACTGGTTGGGACCAGGGCCCTTCAGGGGCTCCATAAAGGAAGTTCTCAAACAACAGGTGTATTAGAAAAGGTCTTTGCAGGTGTAGGATCTCTAAAAGAAGAAATAAGTCCTATATCAGCAGGCTGATTGTCCAAATGCAAGCTGATTGGATCAATAAGGTTTGGACCTAGCTTTTGTATATCAGAGTCAACTGCAATAGACTGCAGTGACTCAAAAACAGATTTATCCAAAATTTGAGACTCTGTATTAGAATAAGAAATCACAGCATGGGTTCCAAACCCAGTGAGTTTTACAGGTTTAGGGGGGGGGGGGAGGGTCAGAGACAGAATCTTTCTGGAATGGTGTCAAAGCACACTCAGAAACCCTTTGGACAGAATGGTCCAGTAGCTAGGCATAAACAGTGCCTGATAACCATAGTAGCCCCCACAGACATGGTAGAGGCCTCGGCCCCACCCAACAGTGCTGAAATAGACTCAGAAATAGGGTCATATGATAAGAGTTCTAGTTTACAGGCATCAGTTCCACGTAAGGATACCAAGTAAACTACCCCCAGAACCAATATTGGAGTATGGGCTGTGGTACTCCATAGCAGTGGGTTCGTCATCTGCATATCTTGAAGACATGTTGCGCCGTAGACTCATGTACTCAAAAACTTGAGTCTACGGCGCAAAATGGTGCTGATGAGGGTCAGACAGCTGAAGGTGACCAACTCATTATAAAGTGGCCAGTGGAGCCGAACCGGGACCAATTTGGGGCTTTAGAAACAGGAGCGGAAATTAGATGGTACTTTCTCTAGACTGAATGGCAAAAAGAAAGAGCACAGAACTCACACACGCACAACAGTCCACCTCAGCTCTCAGTCCCTTTAACGGTTACTGAAGAAGATGATGGTGGTGGGAAATTTGAAAAACTGTGACCAATGATAACAACAGTGAGGTAGCTGCTGGTGTTTCAGCACGAATATTCCCCACAATCCAGGTTGACCTCGCCACGTCAAGATGCCACTCGCTATGCGAGTCTTCAGGGACTGGGTCAGACCAGAGGCTGTGCCATGACTGTGGATCCAGAGAGTGCTCTGCGGCTAACTAACAGTACACAGAGGTCTGAAAACTGCCACATTGCAGAGCTCAGAACTTGAAGTCAGATTGCAGGCTGGCTCCTTAAGTTTCCAGTCCAGCGGAGTCTAAATATGGCCTCCAAAGCTGTTGCTAAGGAGACACCGATCAGGATAGCTGCTGTGTAGACTAGTTTAAGAAGAATTTCCTCAAATATTGATTGAAGTCACTAAGGAAAAAGGTTTTGTTGTACCGAGTATCTTAACTGATGAAATATAACAATAAAATAGTATAGTTGGACTTTCACACAGCTGAAGAAAAAGTGTCCAACCTCAATGTTTTGTGTTTTTTTTGTTTGGCAATGTCCAAAACTCTGTTAGGCAGCAGCATAACCCAAATGTCTAAGAATTACTACATTCCCATGTCCATCAATGGACAAGAAACAAACAAATGCTTTTCTTTTCTTTAGTAGGGGGAGACTAGAACTCCATGTCAGATTTATTTAATTCTGTCTGTGTTACTACTCTAGATGTTCCCTTATTTCCTGGCTGGTAAAACGGTTGTCAGCAAGACAGCCCCTGATGGCAGTAAAAACCCCATAGGAGTTGTATTCTTTCCCCACTGTATCCAAAACTAAGAAAAAAAAAATGTTGTGGCTGGACATACACCAAGTGCCCGTTTAACCTTCCTGGCGGTATTCTCGAGTGTAGCTCGGGGTTACTTTTCCATACCATAAGCGGTAACCCGAGCTACACTCGGGAATGCCGCATAGCATTACTTAACTTGTCCCTCGAGCCGCGCTGTGTTCTCTGGCCGAAGCCGGCATCCGTCTTCCGTCCTTTGCGAGCGTACGCGTCGCAGGGGGGCGGAACGGGCCGGATATTTTAAAAAATACGAAAAAAAAAAATCATACCCTCAGGGAGGTTAAAGTGTATGTATTGCCAAAAATAAAAAATAAAGCATATTGAGTACATCTCATAAAAACATGCTTTTTGGCTTGACATACACTATAAAGCATGGGTGTTCTGCTGAATGAATCCTAAAATTATTACAAAATGTAAAATAAAATGCTACAGGGACCCTTTAACCAGATCTTGTCAACATGAATTTAATTAGGTGCAGTCTGAAACATGATAGCTTAGCAAGATTTTTTTTTTTTTTTTTAGCACAAATGTAAAAAAAATAATTTTAAGCCATGTCTTACCCTAAAAAGCCCTCCCATATGATAACATACACAACAATTTATCACTTAATTCCATGATACATGAAACATGATATAGAAACATGAGAGCAAATCTCACCTGATAGCCTTTAGGGATAAGTTAGTAATGGAGGTGCATGATGCCAAGTCCAAATGTCTGAGTTTACAACAAAATTTACTGAGGCTAGACGAGGTTCTGTAAGGAGGACAGACATTTAATGGCTCACAATGTCCTATACAAAGCCAAAGTCATTTTTCACACATTAGACACTGGGAACAGATCTAGCCACACAAAGTCATGTGGGCTTTATTAGATGATAAATCCACTTGATACTGATTTCAAGCCAAACCTTCAGCAAGCTATAAAAACCCTGGACTTTCTATTATACTTCGTGGAATAGAGCCATGTATGTACAGCAGTAGAAACATGGATATCAGAATCCAAGAGACCGCTCCAAACACACCTGTCCCGGCTTGTGATATGCAGTTTTCTTCTGACTGCTTTGCAAGTGCAAATTTAGTTTTTATGCTAATGTAATAAATACTGAATTTCTACACTACATTGGTGCACCACAGACCACAAGATATAGAAAGAGCACAGGCTGTCTTATTTAGTTTAATTACAATGGACTCCAACATTGAGGTTAGTATACAGAGTTGTTGTTTCTAGCATTAATACGGTAGTTCTACTTTTTGTTTCTAATATTCCCTTTATATGTGGCAACTGCCCTAATTTTTGCTGATGTTGTGATCTCGGGTCTTTTTTTTTCCTCTTTCCAATAAACGTTTCCTAGACTGCTTGTAGTGGTCTAGTGTTTTGTTCAGAAAATACAAAAGGCTACGCAATGAATGAAAAGATGATTTAGCCTAATAGTTTATCCTCCCTGTGTGACATGCAAATTGGTGGCACACACTGTCTATTTCATCTCATACAAAAGGGCAACTATAAACCAACCAGACCCCTAATTGCTGAAACCTAGCATACAAATAGTAATTAACTGTAGATATGAGATGCTCAAAGATTGGGCAGCCATTGTTGTACCTATGGATTACCACTTTACTTTTCAAAAGGCAGCTATATCTATAAACAATATAATAAAACACCACTATACACCTTTACCCAGACAGCCAACTTACGTGTCAGTGATTTTGGTGCAGCCATTCAGATTTAAAACTTCAATATTCCTACAGTTTTGGGCAAAGGTTCTGCAGAAGACAGAGAAATAGCTAGATGAAAAGTAAATTCGCAAGGATAGCAAAGGATGATGGCAAAAATCAGATCATCATACCGGAGAGCATTATCTCCTACACCCAGACATCCACGTAAACTTAGTTTGCGCAAAAATCCACCACATCTTTTGGATATATTTTCTACTACGCGGCCCTGGAAGAGAGAAGATTTCACATGGTGGACTTAGAGCAGACATTGGCCATCTGAATTTCAATGCTAGCCAACTGACCAATGAAACATCATAGTTACCTCAATATCCCTTTGAAAGTCGAATAAGTCGATTCTCTGCCAATTACTGCCATCAAGAGCAAGGACATTCCAAGCCTGAAAGCACCAAGTGATGTACTGATCAAGTTATAGCACTGCCAGGTGTCAATTATAAAATGACAAGACACCTACGAACCATACAAGTGGTTATGTCTGCGTCAAAATGTGTATTCTGATTTAGAGGAGAAAGTGAAAAGTTAATAAGCATGGACCCCCTACTGTCCTCCTTTTGCAGTCTCCCCACCAGTAACCCCTTCAATCTGTGTTAGTGTATAAGCAGGCATGACAGTCGATAGCCAGATCAAGTGCTGATCGGACGTTAGCCACCCACTGTCAACAAACCTCTTTCATTATTATTCCCCCACTGATAGGCCAGCACATGCTCTCACTACTCTTTCCACCTTCCGAATAATTTTTCATCTTATTGGTGGCTGTGCAAACTTTTTTTTGTTACCTCAGTCTTTATGTATGCAAAAGGTAGCAAGAGAATGTTCTAGCATCAAATACAGACTTGTTCCAAGATCACCACATACGTGACAAAAAGAGCTTGTGTACTACAGCTTTTTCTAAGGGGAAAACTGAGGTACAGTGCAGATAGCTTGTGCTCCCTGTATGTACTTCAAGTCTTTGTTTCAGATTAGACATTTAAGAAATTACAGATTCGTAACACACAGTAAAAGTGCTTCAAAACAAGCCCTCACTCACCTCTCTAGGTGTTTTTAAGGCAAAGTTATTCATTCTCAAATATGCTCAAAGATCACAACAAAGACTTTATAAGTAGTTAGAAACCAACTGCAACCAGACAAGCTGCCTAGGGGACCAGTGTAAAGCACTTTTACTTACCTGATCCCCACTCCCACAGGCTCCAAATCCGGTGCCTGCAACTTCTTCCCCCCCGGCATTCTGGCGGTCACCACCCATTGGCTTCATCATTTCTAAGAGGGTCCATAGTAGGGCTGCAACTAACGATTATTTTTATAAATCGATTAGTTGGCCGATTATTCGATTAAATCGTATTAAAAAAATGCCATCTTTTATTGGAAATAAAATACACAAATGGAGAGTTACTAACAAAGTTTGCTTGAGAATAAAACTGCATGCACATTTTTTGCAATCGCTCCGCACTGGAACGAACGGCATTGCAGTACCGTGCGTTCCAGTGCGGGCGATAGCACTGCGGACGGGAGGCGCATTTGGGGTGCACTGAAGTGAATGGCACCACAATCCACATTTGCACGCAGCAGAATTTATCAGGCCGAAGCGAAAACTGACTTTTTTCACACCTATAATTTTTTTTACTTTTTAAAAGCAGATGAGGGACCGAAGGAGAATGTTCTCCATCAGGTCCACTCCTCTGCTGATTGACAGCAAGCAGTGGGCGGGTGCAATAGCCAGCCTGCTATTGACTATTGCAATTTAAAAAAACAATAGCAGGCTGGTTGTTGCTCCCAGCAACTGGGGGCACAGGAGACACAGCGGGAGGGAACGGGAAGCATCAGAGGTTTGGCAGAGGGAAAGGGGGAGCATCTGAGACACAGCAGGGGAGTGGGGAGGAGCATCGGAGGCACAGCAGAGGAAACTGGGAGAAATGGAGGGGCACAATCAACTAATCGCAGAATCAACTAAATCGATAATGAGAATCATTGACAACTATTCTCATCAGAGCCAATTTTTCGATCAGTTGTTGCAGCTATAGTTCATAGCCTTGCATTTTACACGAGTACACTAGGGGACAGTCCACAAGCTAGAGCAGATGGGAGAGGTGAATGCCAACCTCTGGGGAAGCAGGAATCAGTCAAGAAATTATTTTACACCCATCCACTAAACAAAGGACAGGTAACCCGTGCAGTGTGGGAATAGTCCCACTCATGTGGTATAATGCATGTGTTATAAAGGGCAGAAGTTAATAGATCTAACATCTTGTATTTCTGTCTAAAGACAGTGAAATGTTTTCACCTACTGCAGCGAATACATTTGACATCACAAACACTTCAGCGGTGACAATCCCTAACTTGGCTTTTTAATGGCCACAGTATAATGCGCTGTTCCAAGAATACCAACTCATCATCAAGAGCCCTGGAGATACAGTCAGTCACCCTTTACCTGCTCAAACTTGAAAAAATCAGTTTTTAACCCACTTCACTTACCCTGGCGACTTGGGCACATCGACATAGAGTAACAACATCTAAGAAGGAGAATATCCTAAAATATATAAAAATAAAAAAAAATCACTTTATAAAAATTGCAAAATTAAAAACAGGCCAA